ATAAGTATAATTTGGATGGGTATAACCTTAACAATGTTATGAAAGAAAGGGATCTTGGTGTAATAGTCGATCAGTCTTTAAAGCCATCCAAGTAATGTGCTGTTGCTAGTGGATTTTAGGTTGTATCTACAGAAATATAGAATACAAGTCTACAGAGGTTACAATTTTATTGTACAGGTCACTGGCTAGGCTACATTTGGAATATTGTGTTTAGTCTTTGGCTCCTTACCTTAGGAAAGAGACTGAATTGTTGGAAAGGTTCAGAGAAAGGTTACTAGAATGGTGCCTGGGATGAAGGGATCATCATATGAGGAGAGGCTAAAATCTCTCAAATTGTTTTCCCTTGAAAAAAGAATAGTTGGGGGGGGGGATTGAGGTATTTAAGATGGTAAAGGGAATTGATAGTGTTGATGCATCATCTTTTTACATATTTAACAGTAGGACTAGGGGGACACAAGTATAAATTTTGGCAGCATAGGAGTCATCTTCAGCTAAGACAGTTTTATTTTTCTAACAGGGTGGTTGGCCTTTGGAATGGGTTGCCTTCAGATGTAGAGGCATTAAATTTAAATGAGTTTAAGAAAAAGCTTCATAAATATATGAATGATAAGGGCTGGCTTCAAGTTTTTTTGTTTTTTTAAAGTTAATTTAGTTTAGAGTGTCGAACAGCCGAGATGGACCAATAGGTCCTATGTTATCCCAAAACATTATGTCATGATACTAACATGGAAGACAGGGGGGGGGGGGGAATAAATACACTTCACCAGTGATACACTCAAAGGTTTTCAAAACTTTTGACAGAACTAGGATATTAATGACTTTTGGTAAAAATTTGACCTACATATTTTTCATTATATACAATAGATAAATTATAATGAGTGAAATGGGCTTTTAATTTGAATAGTACCATTCCAACCACATTTCTAATCATTTCTGTACTTACCATAAAAACTACAAATTGGTATATCTTGTTCAACTTGAAATACTACTGAAGAAAAAAAAAATTAAATTTAAGCTATGAAAAATATTTTGCCTACATTTTTATCATTAATACTTTCTGCATTCAAATATTAGGCCCAATGAGCCAATAAAGTTTTAACATGTTTTCTATAATGATGTATTTTTCTGAAGCTAGAGTAAATGTATAGTAAAAAGATACAACTCCAAGTAACAAATTTTATTGCATCCTTTCCACAGTTTAAAAACTTTAATAAACTTGTTTCATGAAATTAGTACCAGTGTCACTTCAAAAGAGTAATAAAAATATTTCAGCTACACTTGTATAGTTAGTATATACAATTTAAAAAAAAAACTTACTTTCAAATCAAATTAAACCATTTCGTTTTAAGAAGTATTTATATCCTGTGTCTTGCAAGTTTAAGAACAAAAGCTCACAAGTTACATACAATTCCAAGCAGAATTCTGATAAAAATTTATAATTATTTTAGCAAATGCTTCAAAGGTATACTATGAAAAAACATGAACATATAGACAACAAGGGATTATTTAGTATTTGCACACCCACCCCTGAGAAAAGTAAATTACACCAAATATTTTTCATGTTTTTTTTCCCCATTCCATCCTTCTTACACTCTTGTAAGATGCTATTCTGCTGATAGGAACTAATTATGTAAGGCAATCATCACGTTAAAGAAATAACACTGTTAACTGGAGTCTAGCCTGTCTTTTCCAAATGTTCAACTTCAGACTTTTGGTTCTATTATCTTTAGAATACAACAACAACAACAAAAATCACCTATATTCTGTTGATTCACCAGACAATCTTGTAAACTTTATTAAGACCACCTCTTACCCTTCTTTTCATATGAGAAAGTTAAAATATCTTAACATATCCCCATAAGATGACCCTTCCATCAATAAAATCATGCTAGTAGTTATCCTCTGAACCCTTTCTCAGATGATATTAAGCTGTTCAGAAGTATATAGACATAATTACCTCTACACTTGTATTCAATGTCTATAAATATAATTCCAGCAATACAGCACTGTTTTAATGGCTTGAGACTTACCCATCACTATGCCAAGATCCTCTTCCTGTCACACAGTTCAGTGGGTTCACATCCATATTAAATATTATGCAAATTATGATAACTCAAATGCATTACCTTAAACTGTCATTTGCCAGATATTTATTGAACTTAGCAATTAATCTAGGTCCTTCTGTAATACCTCAACATCCTCAATACTGCTAGATATACCCAAGAGTTTAATGTCCTCTTCTCACCTTACTAATTATGCCCTATTAATACAATTAAGCAAAAGCATATGCTAAGCATTCAACTAGTAATTAGAGTCCAGTTTGACTGGACCATACTAATTTTTTTTTCTCTCATCTAAACACTTCCACATATGAATTAGTCTTTCTCAAACCCCTACTGATATGCTTTTATTAACCAATATTTTTCTAGCACTTTACCAAATTTTTTCTAAATTATAAAAACACCAAGTCCACATTCTTTCAATCATCCAGGTTCATCCTCAAAAAAAAAAAAACAATTTTAGTATGCAAGATTTCCCTTTGATGAAACCATGTTCATTATTTTGCTATATTACATTCCTGTAACTTATTTCATAAAAGATTATTTTATCAGACTAGAATTTTTCTCATAATAGAATTAAAACTAACTATCCCCTAATTTCCATGACAACTATCTATTAACCTAACAAAAAAATGAAAAAGGATCACATATGTGATCTTTTACCTCCTTTAAAAGGTAGTGCTTTATTTTTAATCTCTCAATTTTTCTTTCTACTCACCATCAAGAGATCAATATTTAAATAATTAAAGCCAATTTCAATATTTTCCATAAAATGTTTAGTCTCATTTTTCTAAAATCTTCTATTACAAAAGCAGAACATTTAAAAGCTTTGTTGTCTCAAGTCTTCAACAAAACCCTTAGCATCAGCATCTTTTAAGGACCCATCTTTATTTTAAGATATTTTGCTTACATTTAAAATAATGAAAAAATCCATATTGTTAGGTTTTAAAGTTATCAACCTGTTGTTTCTTATAACTTGCATTTATTAATTTCTTTTTCAATCAAATCACTAGCTCTCATACAGTTCTATAAACCTTCTAGCCTATCTGTCAATTTAAACTTGTTTAACTTACAGCACTTATCCTGCATTTTCTCCTTTATGTCATTAGTAAACCAAACCAGTTTGATCTTCCCCATCATCCTTTTTTCTTTCAGGAACATAAATATTTTGAAATAAAAGCCGTTTCTTTAATAAAAAATTCCCTGTCCCATATCACCTTTACCTTATTTTTCAAATCCACTAGTAATAAACTCGTCTTGTGGCCTAAAAAAGTAGCTATTCAATTTAGTTTATCTCATCATGCAGCACAACATCAAACTCAATTAATTAATGTCTCTCTTCTCCGAATTCCCACACATACACATTTAAACTCTTACAACCACATTCTAATTAGAAATTGCACCCATCTCCCACCCACCCAGTTGGCGCTCTAACCATTTAGCACAGAAAACCATCCTGAATCACTTCAAGAAATCTCTCTGCCCAACTATTTGACTAAACACAATCCCAATCAAAGTGTCTACAATTCAAGTCTGATAATTATTGTATCATTATTATTAGTAACAACCACAATCTCATTATGCAATTATCATTGACCTCGTTCTGTTTGATCATGTGGCCTATAACAATTGTCAATTAAAAAAACTTTTTACATTTGAAACCTCTAATAATAACCTATGTTAACTAATTCTCTTCTCTACCATTTTTGGCCTTCATTCTCAACATAAGCAGCCATACCACCTCTTATTTAAATAGCCAATCACCAATATAACTCATAACCTAGAATTTAAGCATTTTTATTATCATTATCTTCAAATCTAACCAAGTTAGATTAGTCTTCCATTCCAATTACTGCCCTGAACAAATCAAGAATGTGCAATTGTTCCTGTCCAGTAGAACTGGGTAACCTGTTGAACCTCCTTTGTGATAGGATTAGGGACTTGTAATTATTCACCTTGAATGAGGAATTCCCATATATCTGCAATGACAAGTCTAGTAATCTCACATCAGTGGTGGGAAACATTTTTGTAATCCTGATAGAAGCTTCTTTGCAAAGTCATTTAACAAGATGAAAAATGTTTTTGGGGTAACCTACATGGTTTTACTATGGGGAAAATCTTATCTTGCTAATCTTTTGACATTCTTTGAAGAGGTTAATGCTTATGAGGGTATGGGCACAAGTGGATTTGGTATATCTAAATTTTCAGAAATCATTTGACAATGTGCCATATAAAAGGATTTATTTTAAAAAATATCAAGAAGTGTGAGAGATAAGTTGGCTTATTGGATAGAAAAGTGGTTGGTTGGATGGAAGAAAGCAGGGGTTATAAATGTACTTCAGTCAAAATGGATTAAAATCAAAAGTAGGGTACCTCAGGTTTAGGTGTTAGGACCCTTGTTCTTTTTTTATTTACATCAATGATACAGATAAAGGAATGGTCATCAATTTACTTAAATTTGCTAATGACAAGTTAGGAGGATACTGCATTCAGATTATTCGGCATGTTGGACAAATAAATGAAACGTGTTTTCTAATTGCATAATTTATTTAATACTAAATGCAAGGTAATGCATGTGGGTTATCATAATTTTGATCAGAATAACCTTCACACTATTAATGAAGAAAAAGATATTGTTGTTTCAGTTAATCAGTCTCTTAAGCTATCCAAACAGCAGGACAAATAGGATTTTAGGTTGTATCATGGAAATACTGTATAAAAGTCTAAAGATGTTATAATTTTATAGTATAGGTCCCTGATTAGGCCACATTTGGAGTATTGTGTTCAATCTTTGGCTCCTTACCTTTGGAAGAACATTTAAACAGTTGAAGAGAGTTCAGAGGAGGGTTAGTAGCATGATACCCGAGATGGAAAGATCATCACACAAAAAGATGTTAAGAACTCGGAAAGTGTTAGTGAGGATCTGTTTTTCATACCAGCAAATAAACTGTCTACATACTCAATAATGCTCTGTACTTGAAAATCTAGCATCCAAAGTATAGATCATATACACTTCCCACTACAATGAACTTCATCAGTCCCTCACTTCATAAACTTATCATCATCATCACATTCCTCAATGCAAGCATCAAAACAGCCAAAGGTCCAAATCTATAGAATTAGTGCCTAAATGCTGATTGGACCAGTCTTCACAGCCTTATCTATTTATGTGTAACCTTGTAAACAAAGCACTCTCATTCTCACCTTTACCCTTAAATCTAGCCAGTTCCTATTGTTACATTTATTTCTGCTCACATTATGCTATTTCACTCTCTCTTAATTTGGAAACATTACTGATTTACATGTTATCATATTGTTATTTTATAAGTTAATAATTCTGCTAAAGATGCAATACAGACTAACATATTTTCAGATTTGATATTTTTCTTTGTTTGTTATTAAACGAGTTAATTGAAAAGTTGAGTAGCATCCTCCCCACAAACAGTAAATAACTACCTTTAAATATATGTATTCATTCAACACATTGCTCAAACAATCATGCTTCTACATCTATTTGTCTAGAACAAACATATTCATAAAACAAAAATGTTCATTTCCTTTATCAAATTTTGTTAGAATTACAATTATAAACTTGCAATAATAGATTTGATTAATATCACAGAAAACTATATCTGCCATATCCAATGTCAACAATATCCATCAGCCTGAAGATCTCTGAACATTAATCAAAGCTCCTCATCGCTTCTAGCTGTAATTTAGGTAACAAAGATAAACTTTATGTGAACCAAATATTTTCCATAATTTAAAGAGTTTGAATTTATTTATACTATTACTCAAACACTAATAATACAACTCACATAGCTGTTATCTACATAAAGTCATTATCAAAATCAAATATTAATGTGAGAGAATATCGATATTAAGTTAGGCCTCAATTCCACAGTACCGAAAAATTATCGAAGTTATACTAGTTACACTTATAGCCAACACAATGACATGTCAATCATACTTATAAAATTAGAATGTTAATTTTTCTAAAAGAAGCTTTACAACAAAGCCACAAAAAACCCATATCCCCAATTTATTCAATTGTTAATGAAAATCACACAGGCCGATATTGCTTACTTGTTACCCCGATTTCTTGATATTTTTCAAAATTAAAATTATCCACGACTGGAAACGGACAATAGACAGCTGGAAAGGATGATAAACGATGTATCAACTATCATATGCTTAACGCTAACGGACAAAAAATATTTGCTGATTCCTTGTTATGTTAAGATTTAGGCTTTAGCATGTATATTCCGGATATTCAGCCTTGCTCAAAATAAGAGGCAAGGTCATTTAAAATATAAAATTTACTAATAACATCCCCAATTATAACCACTCTCTGCAACGGTGTGCAAATTAGCATGCTCATATTTATACTGTGAGCCATGTTCCCTCAAATGCCAAATATACCATTGTCCTCGTAAGTGATTGGTCGAAAGCATTATATTCTCAAACACAAGTTAAAAATATTGTTAGTTCGTAACTTAGAGTAAAGAGGGTGAATAAAAATTAAAGAAGGACAGATATTTCGCACATTTTTTTCAGTTTTTTATCATCTGCTAATTTCAACTAAACAGATGTTTCTATGTTTATTTTATTTTATAGTAGTTTCTGTTATATTATTTATACGCTCAAAAATAAATTAAAATTAGTTTACTTTATTAAAATTTTACTCAATAATATGTTCATGTTCATACTCTTCATGTTTGTTTTTTTCGTTTAATATGCAGAGTTCATAAAAGTCACATATGTTGTACTGCCATAAGCGTCCAGACTTTTCGTAGAAAAAGGCCGAATTTAATACTGGTGTTATTTCTCATAGATGTATGGTTTCAATTTGTCTTCTACAGATGTTTAGTATAAAAGCTCGATTAGATGGCGATAGCTAATAAGGCATGCTCTTGCCTTTTGAATTAACCTCTCCATTTGGTTACAAAGTTGTTCTGTATGATTAAGATCTGAACGTCCCACTTTAAAAAAAAATCACGTTGTTACTTTGAAGCTATGCACGTGA